ATTTGAAAATAGCAGCAACATCAGAGATGTGCAAAATGACAGCAGCAGGTTATTTAACTTGACTGAGGTTTCTATCATTACATTTGCTTTTATTTGTTCCTGCTGTTGGAATCTTTATTCCACTCTGGATTCTTGTGAGTGTAGTCTTTGTTCACTTTATTATAAAAAATAAATAAATAAACAAACTATTTTGAAAACTTCGGTTTTCATTATTTTCCTGCTTTGTGTGTCAACTTTCAGGGTTGCTAAGCAACAGAGCATACGGCGGTAAAACCCGCCGAACTGCTCGAATTTACAGCCAAAACTCTTCCGGTCTCCTTATTTTCAAGGACTTCGAAGGATCCAGTCTAGGTAGACCGCGTCCTTGGAGGATGCAGCCCAGGATTTCGAACAGAGCCAAGCTGTTTGTAATCCGCCAATCTAACAAAGAAGAAGAAGCTTAAATGATTAATCACACTCTATACCGGCTGGTGGCAGTAATGTGCTCGTTAACGTTTTTGCTAACAGCCCATGAACTCCGTGAGAAGAAGAAGAAAGGGTGTCGCTGCCAGAGGAAGTGGGTATTCCTCGGTTCTGTCGGAGCTGATTCTGGCTGCTGACCGCTGGACAAGGAAGCGCCGCCGCGATGCTCTTATCCTGGTGTGTTATTCCTGGTGCACTTCACCATGTTCTTAAATCTTCTTGTGACTAAGACGCGTAGAAATTGACGCCGCTTTGCTGCAAACAACAACTACAGGAAGGTGAGTTAAATTTAGCAGAATTTCATAAGATCACAATTTAATCTCACAGCAACTTATTTTGAATAATTCTGAAAACCTAAATATATCACTAACTGTTTCTTTTTCAAACCGGGTTCAAAGTCCTATAAGGAGTCACCAACCAAGGACAGTCGTTAACATGTAGTGAATTTGTGTTTGTTATTATTTCCCTTTAACTCCTGAAGAAATCTGCTTTTTTTTAATTATTATTTGTATTTTTATTACTGTGCTGGACCGAGTTTGAATTGATCAGATATTGGGTTGAATTAAATAGAACAATCATATACTTGCTCAATTCAGGCTTTCAGCAGTAAGCTTACACCATGAGGACTGATATTGTAGAGTTTATTAGAAAGAGTGACGTTTGTTAGTTTGTTTTTATAAAATGCATTTGCTGCTATGTCATTGATCTGCATTGCTGTTATTTCCTTATGCTTCATCCTGAGAAATAGACTCAATATTTTTTTTATTTTTTTTTTTTTTACAAATATGTCTTCTTGTTTAGTTTGACAAAAAATATGCCTATTGTGCAAATTTGTCTCTGGCATAACAGAACATATCCTGTGATAAACAGATCTACAGAAACTCTTTGTTCTAGCCAATCTACCGCAGCATTAAGGTAAGAATCAATCAATTTATAAAATCATTTGGACTGTAGAGCCAGCATTGAGATCATTAAACATTGTCAATTTAGCCATATCTTAAAATTTTGGCAGCTTTAGCTTCAGAGACATAAATTCTGCATTCTAAGCACTATTTGAGTCGTATCCCTCTTGGTATCAAATATTTTTCTTTTTTTTCTCACTGGATCTCATCTACTTTCCACTCTATGCTTGGAGGTGCTAACTGGCTTAGCCACGGTATGCTACTTCCTTGTTTACCCCCTGTGCACATGCAGTGTCATAGCTCAGCTGTAATTGTAAATACACACAAACAGCTTTAAGTCTAATAAAAAACCAAATTGTAAAAGACTTAAGACAACAAATGACAGAGCAGCAGGATGTCACATTAATTTATAAAAAAACTTTGTAGTTTTTCATATTTATACACCAGTAACTCACTCTGGTTTCATACCTAACTAGGTAACTAGGGCTGATATCATAATAGTGATTGATCTATGACTGAAATATTCTTCACCTAGATTAGTAATCAATTAATCATTAGGTGGAAAATAGAGACTAAAACATGCCTTTTGCAACCCTCTTAGAACAGTAAATATGCTAAAATTTGAGTTAAAAAAAAAGTTTCTGTCTGTCAGTAAACTATCCAGTAGAGCTGGGTATCGATTCAGATTCACCAAATCGATTCGATTCATGATTCAGTCTGATTTTTGATTCAGGGAAGGCTATCCCACAGTTACAATTTTACTTAGATATGAAAGGCATTAGCTAAAAAACTAATGAAACCAACTTTAAAATGTAACCACATACAGTTACCTTCATCATGTACTTTTTATTTACCATGACCAAAATCCCATCTTAAACCATAAAGATGTCTGATCTGTGCACATGGAACTGAAGTCAAATGAGGGGCGTTGATTGGGTGATCAATCAACACCCCTGTGATTGGCCTGTGATCCTGAGAAAAAACAAAAAGTCTACAGCATAATGGATCATGAGCTCCGGGGTTATAAACGTCCTTAGGGGAACAAATGTCTACAATGACCCAAACACAATGACTTAAAAAATGGCAGAATTCCTCTTTGACAACATGAGATACTTAATTAGTTCAGAACACCTGCCCTCTGTCTTCTCTATGACGGTTCCAAGGCCACATGTAAATGCCTGTTGTTCTTCTGTCTTGTTTGTTGCCGCTGTAAAAAAAAAAACAAAAAAACAGCTGATTTGTTTCAAAGTTGTTTTTATGTATTGTTTTTTTTTTGCAGTAGCAGTCATGGCGGAGGCCGGAGCCCATCTGACCTCAGCGGCTGTTAATGAACTGCCATCCATCTTTGAAGTTCTAGCCCAGGACTCTCTGATGGAAGCAGTCAGACCTGCACTGAGACACGCCGTCATGGTTAGGCTAAACTGGAACCCCTCCAATCTGGTTGTCAGCAGGGCTTTATAATATTATCCCTCTGCTCTCACTGTCCTAGGTTCTGGCTGAATCCAACCCTTCACGCTTCGGTTTCCTGTGGAGATGCTTTGACGAGCTTTACCTGCTGCTGGATGTCCTCCTGCAGAACCACTTCCTGTCCCACTGCAGCGCCTCCTTCTCTGAGAACTTCTATGGACTGAAGAGAGTCCCAGCACGACGGAGCCTCCCCGCACGCCTGGGCCTTGGCAGGAGTTTGCGCTGCAGGTCCCTGCTGCTCCTGTGCCTGCTGCCATACCTGCGGGCCAGGCTTGAGGCCATGTTGGCTCAGCAGAGGGAGGAGGAAGACTTCTCTATCAGGCTGGCACAGACCTGGAAGCTGAGATTGTACCGAGCAGCAGTGGCAGCATACCCATATATCAGCTCGGCCTACCAGGCCTGGATCTTCTGCCAGCATCTGCTTTTTGTTTTTGGAGTCAGCAGGACGCACAGTCCCCTGCTGTGGTTGGCCAACGTCAGATTGGCAAGACTCAGTGGTCAGGACCTCATAGATATGGAGCACAAATCCAGCCCTGCGAAGCCAGCAGATGGGAGGTTGGTGATCTTAAGGACACGTGTAGTGGGATGCTAAGCTGGTTTTTCTGATAAATGTTATATTGGTTTCCTCTCCAAGTGGTTCTGTCCCAATTAGACTGATACACTGAATTCTATTGTGCATGAAGGCTCCTAATATGGCATTACATGAGAAAAGTTCCATGAAAATATGCACCGTGCCCTTCAGAATCAGTATTTACAGCTGAGACGATGCACTTCTGCACCACCAGCAGAGAGAGAGCAAACGTTGAAGGCAGGAGTGAAGGGAAAGATTTCTGGGCTTAATGGCAAATACCCAAAATAAGAAAGAAGACATGGGTGCAGCAGAGAAAGTTTTTAGTAGTTTTAACAAAACAAACGATATTGAACAATTTAGAATTGGGGCAGGGAAATATGATCTCAAATCCAAATCACAATAAATTGGGTAGTTTGACCTTTATGCGAGGGTAAAGATGTATATATGCACGATAAATGCTCCGGCTCCTGTATGACAAATAAAAGCATGTGCAAGAAATGCAACTGATATATTAATAATTTACTTATTCAATAAATCACATTACATATTATTTTTAATTAAATATTAAAGTCTTGAACCCATTCAGGTTTAAACTTTAAACAACATCTCATTGAATAGGAGAAAAATGTTTCCTCTCTTGTAAACATTTTTGTGCAAAGGTAATGTAGCCTTTTGCATATCTTTGAACTCCACAGTGTGGCTTTGCTGCACGTGGTGGAGGTTGGATGTGCTACTTTGGGTATTCCAAGACAGTTTTCAGAAAAACTTTGCATTTCGTGTCCCTTTGCTCATCATCTATGGTGTAATTTTTGTGCCACTGAACTGAGTGTGCAGTGAGAAAAATGTGCATCGTTTAAACTCGTACAGCATCAAATCCGATCTGCTGCCCATTTAACTCCGACAAACCGCTTTCAACTTTTTCTCTGCATGCTCAGCTTAATCTCTGCTATCACTCAGCTTCACAGGATTAACTAATGTAATTTCGTTTACAGCCGTGTTAACGCTTCAATGGGCTCATCCACCATTCTCTTTGTGTGTTCCGACTGGATCGGTGGAGTCATGTGACTCCCCACATGCTGCAGTGTCTTAAAGGGGAAGGAACCACCCAACCTTGCACACAGGAAAAACAGCAAAATCACGTTTATTTCATTCACCGACATGGGAAAAGCAATCCGGTTTATCGCCCAGGCCTAATTAGAATACCGATTTTTATTAGTCATTGATTCCTAAAAAAGGATTCCAACTTGAGAAACTATGAATCCATTCATCTTTCAAACCATTTATCTTTCTTCATCTGTCCATCTGCTAACGTCGCCATTTGTTAATTAACCTGTCCATTTTTCTCTGCTTTCATTCATTATCTCCTTCATCTGTTTGTTTCTTTCATAGATTCATGTATCCTTCTGACTCTGAAGTCAGTGTTTTTGCAGACTTTAGATTAAAACCTGATCTTTGTGAAGTATCTGTAAAACAAAAACAAAAAAAAACGTAATAGGTAAATTTAGCTAAAAATGCTTTAAAACTAGAAAAGCAGACTTCCGCCAAGCAGCCAATTTTGTAAATCACAATTTTATTGTGATTTACACCTAAAGGTAAAACTCCTATAATCTGGATTATTACCAAGCGTTAATGAATCATAGCTTAGAATCTTCTTTCTATCTTTGGGAAAAATCCCCTTAAAATCCTTTCATAAGTTTCTAAATAAGGCCCAGTGTGTGTCTGCAGCCTCTGGTGTTTGTTCTGCTCTCACCGTCATTCACTCTGCTTTCTTGTTTGATGAGCAGATGTTGACTTTGAGCAAATCGTGGCTCACTTTTCCTGTTTTTTTGTCTTTATTCTAAAAATTCTGTCAGATGCTGAAGTTGTCAATAGTCACTGCTGCCATCTTCTGGTTCAGAGGGGAACTGCTTGTCCTGCCAAATAATGTTAAAGAATCCTTTAGAAAATGATGTAGATCATCACCAACATTTAACTGTTTGTTCTTTGGACTGAGGTGCACCTTTGGTGACAATTTTATTAAAATCCGTTCAAAATGTTTCATGTTATCCTGTACCCCGACCGACATACGGACAAAACAAAACAAAACCTCCTTGGCAGAGGTAATAATCTGGAAATGTAAGTTTTAAAGTCTTACATTTTAAAAGGGGAAGTTAAGGGACCCTGTTTAGAAAGGGCCAGCAGCACTTTCTCTGTTTCAAAGGGAAAATGTTGTTACATTCACTAAACAAACAGCTGCTATATTTTATTTAATAGGACATTTAAAAAAAATCTAATAATGTCTTCTTTCACCTGAAGAAACAATATTTCAGTGTTTTCTTTTATCATTCCTCTTCCTTTGTTTTACAGGGTTTCCATAGGTCATTAAAAATCATTAAACTATAATTTTTTAATTTAAGGCCTTAATTGGCATTAAATTTAATTAAATGTGATTATCGTGGCATTTAAAATGCTTTATTTAAAAAAAATAAATTTTTAATGAGAATTTTGTCAGATACATTACATCAGATATAACTGGTTCCACATGTCTGCGCAGAAATGCTTCAGGTTGATCGTAAAGCTGTATGTCGGAAGAGAAGCTCGAGGCGGAGAAAAAGCTAGCGAATGGGAAAACAAAAATTTCAACAAAAGTGGCTGAAAAAATTAACATCTTATTTGGGGAAAAAAAAAATTAGGAGGGGAAAAATGTCAGTGGGCTCCACCTGTAAAATCATTCCTGTTTTGATGCTTGTCTCGTTGTTGCCCCTCTAGGGCACCTGTTGTTCATTTCATTAACATCAACTCATTCCTGTATAAACCCTGTTTAAGTAAAGATGATCCTGCATGCAACAGTTTGGCTGAACTAAGGTGTAAATCTGAGTCTAAACAAAGAAACATGTTCCTATGTTTGCAGGCTGGTGCAGAGAACATGGTGGCTGCTGTCCCAAGCCGCACAGGGTGCAGCCGTCTCCCTCTCCACCTCCCTCTCTCTGGGCGTCTTCTTCCTACAGTTCCTGGAGTGGTGGTATTCCTCAGAAAACCAAAGCACGGTGAAAACCGCTACCTCCCTGCCAGCTCCTCCACCCCCGCTCCATCTGCAGGGCCTCGACACGCAGGCAGCCGCCGACAAGAAGAATTGTCCCCTGTGCCTAAAGCTGCGAACCAACTCCACCGTACTGTCGACATCAGGCTTTGTCTTCTGTTATCGCTGCGTTTACGCTTACGTCAAGGCTAACCGCTGCTGTCCGCTCACTGGATTCCCCACAGAACTGCAACACCTCATCAAGATCTATGAGCCGGAGAGTTAACTTTCTGAAGGCTGCTTTGGCTGCTGACCCTCTTTGGAGAAATGTGGCCTTCCTTTTATCTCAATTCCTAACTCTGCTTGTATTAACAGCTCTATAGAAAGGACTTTATAAAGAGTAGAATTATCCCTCTTTGCTGTGAATATTTTACTCTCAGTGTTGAGAAATTTGGATCCAGTGGTGTTTTTTACTTTGCATTGATAAATAAGCATTGATTAAATAAAGATCATAATATATATATTCTAGTGCTGCTAATAAAGTCTGTTTCAGCTTCCTTTGCAGAGCTTTTTCAAATTTAGCCACATTGCAGGATTCCCATTGAGTCTTGGTTGAATCCAGATATATCCTCTTCACCTTTCATGGGCTTCAAAGTTGTCCAGATGTATCAAAAGGATAAAATGTGTATTACTGAAGTAGAAGTATAAATCCTACTGTTTAAAAACACTTCTGTAGTAATTACGACATCAATTTAAGCTTTTTACTGCAGTAAAATTGTAAAAGCACCATTTTTAAAACTACTTAAAGTATAAAATTAAAAGTAATGCAGTAAGAAATGTTAAGGACAGATGCTCAATCCATCAATTTCTTTATTGTCAACTACAATTTGCCATGCGTGCCACAGAACACTGCCGTTGGTACGATCTTAGGGCTGCCTGCTTACTAGCGCAGCTTTAAAATTAAAGGAGAATTTTTTTTCTACAATTCTGTTTGATAGCTTCCTTATACTTAATTTTCTTAGTTTTATAACTAATTGCAATAGTGCCAAATTTAACTTTGCATCATCTTGAAAAACTTATTTAATTTGGTATGCGGTAAACCACAAATAAATAAATTGTTTGAATAAAACAAATTATTTTGATGGATTTTATTTTTAAATACCAAAAAATTAGCTTAAATTAAAGAACTAACAAGTCTATAATTAAAATGTAAGGAATAAAGGTAAAAAGATGTCCAGGTAGCCAAAGTTTCTAAGATAAAGTATTTTCTGTTTCCAGCTTCCTGGAGCTCACTGACTAAAGCGGGGCTGCAGTAGACAGGCGCCACTGTCCCCTCTTACCCTCCATCAGTAAGCAATGCTGGAGAAGTGTCTTGCCCAAGGACACATGTTTAAAAGGCAGACTTGAAGCGATGACCACTCGGTTGTACAGAAAACGGGTACAGGTTGTATGAACTTCCTGTAATATGTATGAACTTCCTGTGGTTTGGCTGCTACCTTGGCCAGGTCTCTCTTGAAAAAGAGATTCTGAATCTCAATGGGACTTCCTGATTAAATAAAGGTTAAAAAAAAAACTGCTGCATCTGAAGGTACTGTCAGATGCAAGTAGACATTCTTAAATATATCTGCTTCAGAGATGTATGAAGGATTCCATAAATAACAGAACAGAACCAGGCTCAGTATGAGCGGCAATCTGCCAAGGCAGACTGGGGTTCAAGGATGTTCTGACAAAGAAAAAGGAACATAGAAGCTGATAAGACAAAGATACTTTCCATAAATACTTTCTATGTAAGTAAAGGTAACACTAACTAGCTCCAGAGCTGTCTCTGTTTAACAATGAAATGGTTAAGCAGACAAACCCTGAGTTGGTTTGCATATCAAAAGGGATGAAAGATAGAACATCCAGTTGGTCACAGTGAGAGCTGAGATCATAGCTATACATAGGAGAGAAACAGGATTAAACACTGAAGGGGAAAAAAAAGCTACTATGACGATAATAACCAGAGAGAATACTGTTAAGGGTTTAACTAACAAAAACTACAGCATTGGAGAATAGAAATAGAACAAGGCAGAACAGTTAAAACATAGTGGAGGGGATAATCTGAAACACTAACTATAGGCTTCATCAAAAAGGAACGTTTTAAGCCTACCCTTTAAAGTAGACAGAGTGTCTGCCTTACAGACTAAAACTGGTAGAGTGGTAGACTAAAAGACTTGCCTGCCATTCTACCTTGAGGAACTTCTAGAAACCACTAGTAAACCAACAGATCAAGAGCATATGTTAGATAAGGAACAATCAGATCACTGATATCAGATGGAGCTTGGCCATTGGCCAGCTTGGCATATTCAGCTGAATATTGATTATATATTCTCCAGATGCACAGTATTTATATTCGTAAAAACACTGTACTGTACAGTGTTTTATTTGTTGAACTCTTTCACATATTCTGTTATTTTTGTACAGTTTTAAGGTCAACATTTGTGTGACCACTTTTGCTGTTATCTTTTGCTGCTGCTGTAACACCACAATTCCCCCACTGTGGGACAATAAAGGGATTTACTGTTCTGTTCTATTTAAGGCTTTATATGTGAGAAGGGAGATTTTAAATTATATTCTGCATTTAACAGGAAGGGAAGCCAATATAGGAGAGATATGATCAATTCAGTCAATTTATATCGCAGCAATTGACAACACATGTCATTTCAAGGTATTTAACAGAGACAATCCAACCAGATTATCCAGTCAGATTGGTTTAAAGTTTTCTATGTAAGGAAAACCATCTGATTGCATCGACTCAATGACACCAAAGTGATCCCTCATACCAGGCATGCCTGCATCGACAGGCATGTTAAAAGGGAAAATCCCTCCTAACAGGAAGAAATCTCCAGCAGAACCAGACTCAATGTGATCGGCCATCTGCCGAGGCCAAATTTTAAAATTTCACAAGAACCCTGGCTGAAGCATTTTAGATCAGCTGAAGGCTTTTAAGGAGTTTGTAGTCTTCCTGTGAGTAAAGCATTACAATAGTCCAGCACTAAAGTAACAAATGCAGGGACCTGTTTCTCAGCATCACCCCTGGACAGGATATTTCTAATTTTTGCAATGTTATTCAGATTAAGTAAAGGAACCTCTTTGATATGGGATTTAAATGACAGGTCCTGATAAAAAAGTAACACCAAGATTTTTTACTTTAATCTGAGATGAATTTAATCCCATCCAGTTGAAGTGACTGATTAATCAGCTTCTTTTTCAGGCTCTGGTCCAAAGATTACAACTTCTGCTTTGTCAGCATTCAGAAGCAGAAAGTTAGGAGTCATCCGGGTTTTTATGTCTTCAAGAAATGCCTGTAAACTACTGTATGTAATGAATTAGTTTCATCTGGATTTATAGACAGATATAACTGAGTATCATCAACATAACAGGGGAAATTATTCCCTTGCTGTATAATATTTCTACTGATTGGGAG